GACTTTATATGCAAAGATTAAAAGTCAGCTGTGTTAAATATGTTCAAGGAACTGAAATAAACCATGTATAAAGACCTATGAAGTAGCAACAAAGAGAACAGGTCTCAACAACAGATTCGAGCTGGCAGAAGAGAGAATAAGCAAACATGAAGCTGGGTCAATGGAAGTTATCCAGTCTGTGGAACATGAAGAAGTGAAACAGAAAAATAGTGAAAAACATAAAGAGAACGGACCCTCAGAAACATATGGTATACCTTCCAGCATACCAACATATATGTAATGTAAGTCTCAGAGCATGAATAAAGGGAATAAGGAACAGAATATTTGAAGAAATAATGGCCAAACTTTCCCAAATTTGATGAAAATTATTCTGTCCATCTAAGAAGGTCAATAAATTTCAAATAGGCTGGGCACAGTGGCTCTCACCTGTGAACCCAGTACTTTGGGAAGCCGAGATTGGAGGATTGCTTGAGTCCAGGAGTTCAAGAGAAGCATGGGTAACATAGCGAGACCTCATCTCTTAAAAAAAAAAAAAAGGCTAGGCATGGTGGTGCATGCCTGTAGTCCCAGCTACTCAGGAGACTGAGGCAGGAGGATTGCCTGAGCTCAGGAGGTCAAGACTGCAGTGAGCTATGATCGTGCCACTGCACCCCATCTGGAGTGAGATCCTATCTCAAAAAAAAAAAAAAAAAAAAAAAATCCAAGTAGCATGAATTCATTACCTTCTCCACAGGCTTTCATCCTGGTAAACTAAACAGAAACCTGGTCATTCCCAGATGGGTGCAGAATGGGTTATTATCAGATGAGCACTGAGAATATTTATGCCAATGATATATGATAGACAGAACCTCCACTTTATTCTTGGATTTCCTGCTACACAGAAAACAAGCAACCCAAGAATCAATTACATACAATCCAGTATCAGTCACTGGTAGATTTCTCAAGGATTTTATTATAAAATTTTTCAGACACATAGAAAAACTTAAAAGAATAGTATAGCCGAGACCCTTACATACATCACATAGATTCAACAAATGTTAATTTTTGCCATATTTTCTTTATCTTCTACCTGTAATCTATATCGCTCTTCTATCCAGTTTGCTGCTTTTGACTGAACTATTTGAAGGTAAATAGCAGACATCATAACCCTTCACCCCCAAATGCCTCAACTTGGATCTTACAATAATGTATTGTCCTACAAAGTACAACACCGTCACGATGTCAATCCTTTAAGGGTGTAGTATTTAAGAAAGAAGGGGGCTTACACACTGAAGAAGACTAGCAAGCTGAAAAAGAGAAACTTAGTCTCAATGAAAGTTTCAAGCAAGAAAGCAACAGTGAAACTTTCTGAAGCCAAGAAGCCTACAGATCTGGGGATATTATAGAAGGTAGCAACAGAGCCTTCATTATATTTAAAGATTATATGGCCAGGTTCAGAACCAGGCTCTACTACATAGACTCCCATACAGTTACCTGTTCTGGAAACTGGACAGCCACTATCCTTTAGATTGGTCCAGTTGAGGACTGAAATCCTCTAATGCATCTGTAAAAAGACGAATGCAACGCAGATCACCCAAGATCCAGCAGGTAAAAGAGAAAGAGAAAAATTGTTAAATCTTAGGATAGTACCCTTTTCACATGAGATTACTGGCTCCTGGCTCACTTTTTACTTGTGGCTGGCCAAAAATTGTTGTCCCTATTGGGAAGTTTGAGATAGTGGGTTCTAAGAAGTATCTGTAATTGCTGAGCAGACCACTGAAGACCCAATGGTGTTGAGTTAGAGAAAGGGAGTAAGGAGTAGGAAGTAAGAAAACTGTCTTTTGGGTCAGGGCCCATCACCCGGCTCATGCCTGTAATCCCACACTTTGGGAAGCCAAAACGGTCAGATCACTTGAGCTTAGGAATTCGAGACCAGTCTGGGCAACATGGCAAAACCTTGTCTCTACAAAAAATACAAAAATTAGCCAGGTGGGGCAGCCTGCGCCTGTCGTCCCAGTTACTCTGGAGGCTGAGGCAGCAGAATTGCTTGAGCCTGAAGGCAGAGGCAGAGGTTGCAGTGAGCCAAGATTGTGCCATTGCACTCCAGCCTGGGCAACGGGAGTGAAACCCTGTCTCAAAACAAAGCAAAAAACAGAAAACTGTCTTTTGAGTAGAGCCATTCACCCTACCTGACAACTAGCTGTGTAAAGACAGGGCATATGCAATTATTAAAACATTCATACCGTTACAGAAGAGTATATTAAACACAATTAGACACACATGACATTTTAACATGTGATGGGAACACCTATATGTGGACAACTGTGTAATACCACTCAGATCAAGCAATGGAGCATTCCAGAAGTCCTTTTTATCCATTCCTATGCTATTGAGCATGGGGGCATTATGGGTGTCAGTGCTAGGAGATCATATAATATTCATCTTTTTCTGCCTGGCTTATTTCACTTAACATAATGTCCTCCAGGTTCACCTATGTTGTCACAAATAACAAGATTTCTTTCTATTTTTATGGCTGAATAGTATTTCATTGTGTATCTATGCCACATTTTCTTTATCCATTCATCCACTGACAGACACTGCGTTGATTCCGTATCTTGGGTATTATGAATAGTGCTGCAATGAATATATAGTACAGATATCTATTCCACACAGTGATTTCATTTCCTTTGGAAATATGCTCAGTAGTGAGATCTTTAAGTTTATTACAATATCCTTACATGCTTATCATCAATAAAAAGCAGATAATAAAACTCCCCTTAAATTTACTGTCTACACCAAAGTATCTGTCATGCATTTTAAAACTGAAGTGCATATTATGGATATTTTTTCTTTTTTTAGTTTATAAAAGTAGGCCTGATTAAATGCATATTTACAGCCTTTGATTTGGTTTTACAACAACTTAAACTTACTTAGTTTTATCACATATTTATGAATTCTTTAAGAATTTATACTTTTTAGTTTTGCTTGTAAGTTTTATAATGAAGGTATTATAATACGGTATTCTGAAGCTTGCTTACTATTTACGAAGTCTAAATTTATTATTTTTTCTATTATGCAGTGTCCTATTTAAGAAATCATTGCCTAATACAAGGTTACTTACATATTTTTTATGCTTTCTTGTTGAAGTTTTACAGTTTTGATTCTTATATTTGTAATCCATGTGGAGTTAATTTTGGTGTGAAGTGCAAGGCAAAGTGAATATCTAATAGTTTTGATCATATTTGTTAAACATTTTATTTTCCACATCATGCTCTTGTTTTTTTCTAACATCTTGAATATATGGAGTATATATAATATAGCATTTTTTAATGGACTTGCCTGCCAGTTCTATCACTTTTGACATTTTTGGTCTTTCTTGCTTGATTTTCAGCCTGGCAGTAGGTCATTTCCTGCATCTTTGCATGTCTGGTAACTTTTGACTAATTGGATGTCAGACATTGTCAACATTACATTGTTGTTTACTGGACTTCTTTTATTTCTTCAACTGTTTTTGAGGTTTGATGTAGTTAAGCTACCTTAAAATGGCTTAATTCTTTTGAGGCTTGCTTTTAAACTTTGTTACGTGGGGGGTCCTAAACAGTCTTTTATCTAGCATTACTTGGTCTCCATTACTGAGGCAATACCCTTATTAGATTCTGTTAGAAGTCAACTAGATGTGTGGTCTTTCCTTTCTTGTTTTTTTTCCTAAAATTGAATAATCTTAGACTGTACCTCATAGGGCTGTTGTAACAATTAAATGAGATTATAATAACATGCCTAAAACAGTCCCATGCCTGAAGTTTTCAAAAGAAGACATACAAACAGCCAAAAATTTGTGAAAAGATATTCATCACTAATTATCACAGAAATGGGAATTAAATCCACAATGAAATATTACTTCACACCTGTTTGAATGGCAGTTATAAAAAATACATAAAAGGTAAGCATGTGGAGAAAAAGGAACCCTTGCACACTGTTGGTGGTAATGTAAATTAGTATATCCATTATGGAAGACGTTAAGGAGGTTTCTCTCAGAAAATTACAAATAGGTCAGGCAAAGTTGCTCCTTCTTGTAATCCTGACACTTTGGGAAGCCAAGGCAGGAGGATTGCTTGAGCATAGGGGTTTGAGACCAGCCTGTACAACATAGTGAGTTCTTGTCTCTACACGAAATAAAAAATTAGCTGGGCATGGTGGACTAATTAGCTGGACACACCTGTAGTCCCAGCTATTCAGGAGGCTGAGGTGAGAGGATTGCTTGAGCTTGGGAGGTTGGGGCTGCAGTCAGCCATGACAGTGCCACTGCACTCCAGCCTGGACAATAGGGCAAGACTCTTGTCTCCAAAAAAAAAAAAATATTATATAGTATGTATGGTATGTGTGTGGTTGTTATATTATATAAAACCACCATATAATCCAGCAATCGTACTACTGGGCACATATCCAAAGGAAATGAAATCAGCACTTTGTAGATATAGCTGCACTCCCATGTTCATTGCAGCATTATTCACAATAGCCAAGAGAAGTAATCAACCTAGGTGTCCAGCAACAATGAATGAAGAAAACATGGCATATATACACAATGGAATACTCTTGAGCCATAAAAAAGAAGGCAATCCTGTCACTTGTGACAACATAGATGAACTTGGAATACATTATGTTAAGTGAAATAAGCCTCACAAAGAAAGACAAATATTACTTGATCTCACTTACGTGTGGAATCTAAAATTGTTGAATTCATAGAAATGGCGAGTAGAATGGTGGTTACCATGACTAGGGGAGGGAGAGGGTTGTGGAAATGTTAGTGAAAGAATGAAAAATTTCAGTTAGATAGGACATGAACTTTTATGTTTAAGAGATCTATTGTACAACATGGTGACTGTAGTAAATAACAAGGTTTGTAGTATTTCTTTTCTTTTCTTTCTTTTTTTTTTTTTGAGGCAGAGTTTTGCTCTTGTTGCCCAGGCTGGAGTGCAATGGCGTGATCTCGGCTGACCACAACCTCCACCTCTCGGGTTCAAGCGATTCTTCTGCCTCAGCCTCCCGAGTAGCTGGGATTACAGGTATACACCACCACGGCTAATTTGGTATTTTTAGTAGTGATGGGGTTTCTCCATGTTGGTCAGGCTGGTCTCAAACTCCCGACCTCAGGTGATCCACCTGCCTTGGCCTCTCAAAGTGCTGGGATTACAGGTGTGAGCCACCGTGCCTGGCCAAGTATTGTATTCTTGAAAATTGCTTAAGAGAATAGATTTTAAGTGTTCACACCACAAAAATATGGCAAGTATGTGAAGTAATATATATGTTAATTAGTTTGATTTAGCTATTCCACAGTATATACTTATTGCAAAACAACGTGTTGTACTGATAAATACAGTTTTATTTGTTAGGTATAGGAAATGAATTAATTTTAAAAAGAAAAGTCTTTTTATGTACAAGGACTTCCTTTTTATTATTTCTACTCAAAACACATTTTTGTTTGAATCCATAGATGCTGACTTCTTAGAATGAGGCAGCTCCTGTAAAGGAAAAAAGTATATCTCATATCTAGAAATTCATCTTTGTTGAGGATATCCTTGATGAGACATTATCAGAATTGCAGGACAAACAGATACTAAAATTACTGGCCATTTTCTGAAAGCTCTTGAACATGACAAAGTTCCAGGTGAGGTGTTTATTTACTTCCCATTAGATTTTTAGAAGTTTATAACAATATATGTAATCAAAGAGAAAAACGAATATAAGTACACTCTGGCTGGCAGGGATGTGGTTAGACTAGGAGACAGAATAAACGATCAAGAGTAGCCAATTAGGAAGGGAGATCTATCTTCAGGTCATAGGGTCCTGAAAGGTGCTAATAATTAGACAATGCCGTATAAGTAGCAGGATCTAAATTAAGTTGCAAAAATTTCTGTGGCAGTACTGTTAACCATCACAAGAGAATTTTTTTAAGTTATAAGATTTACTTTCTCCAGAAGGAGAAAGCACATAAATTCCTTGATATCAGTAAGTATTTCCTGGGCATCAAGTGTGAAGAAATATCTTTGATGGATCTTCCTCTTCCTCTTCAGTTTTTGTGTTCCAGCATAGGTACCCAGTGAACAGTAATCTTTAAGGAAATGTGGCAGATCTACAAGGCACAGCTAGGAAACTTAAAATCTCTTCTCATAAAAATAACATAATAGTGCTTAAACAAGGGTTATTGTGCAGATTATTATGTTAATATATGTAAAATTTCTAAATGATACATAGCACATAGAACTCCTGACCTCAAGTGATCCACCTGCCTCGGCCTCCCAAAGTGCTAGGGTTACAGGCATGAGCCGCCATGCCCAGCCTGAATAGTAAGATTTTAAAACCAAATTGTACTCTGGTCAGTCAGGAGAAAAAGTTTATTAAAAAGACTGAGGTCTAAAACTGATCAGTAATCACAACTCTTCTGTCCCTAGCTGAGTTCTGAAAAAGTGGACACAGCTTCTATATATGACTCATAGGAGATGTGCCTCTTTTTCTCCCTCTGGTTGAGATTCTTGCCTATTTGGCCCTTGCCTTTTTGCTTAGTCACTCTTCTTTTGCAGCCTATTAGATACAACCACCCTTCACCTCCTCCCAATATTTATAGACCTCTTCTATTATGCTTTCAAATATTCCTAGAATCTTTTCCAAGTTTGATGACACCTGTGTCCTTCAAGCCTATTATATATTTCTTTTATTGAATGTCTCAGCCTTACACTGTGTATCTGCAGATCACTTTCTGAATTTTTCTTGTGTATGAACTTGAGATTCCAAGTTTTTTGTTTGTTTTTCACTAGAACTAATGTGGCAAGCATATGATTGGCATCAGGAAGATATTAAGAAAGATGAACCTTTGAAGATAGACTGTGAAAATAATGCATTGGGAAAAATATTTTCTTGGAGTGCAAGCTTTGTTCCCTTCAGAGACAGATCCCATAAATGTGACTCAAGAGGAGTAAGTTTGAAACAGAATTTATATTCAAATTTTCAGAGTAAAAGCCATGCAAAAATGAACTCTGATGAATTAGTCATGGGAAATCACTTTTCTGCACCATACTTGAAACCTTCCACTCTCAAGGCAAGTACTGTGAGCATAATTTATGTGTAAAGGTTTTGAGTGCAGTGACAAATTTTACAAGACATCACAGAATTCACACAGAAAGGAAACCTTATGAACGCAGTGAATGTTCAAAATCCTTTCGGTATAAGTCAAAGCTTATCATATACCAGAGAACTCATACAGGAGAGAAGCCATATCGGTGCAGTGAATGTCAGAGAGCTTTCAGTACAAAATGTCATCTAACTCTGCACCAGAGAACTCATACAGGAGAGAAACCATATGGATGTGCTGAGTGTCAGAAAGCCTTCAGAACAAAGTATCATCTCATTCTACACCAGAGGATTCATAAAGGAGAAAAACCCTACGAAGGCAAAGAATTTGGAAAGGCTTACAGGGAGAAGGCAACACTCAGATTACATTACAGAGTGCATACAGGAGAGAAACATTTCAAATGTAGTGATTATGAAAAACGTTTTATGCAGAAGTCAAACCCAATTATCCATCAAAGAATTCATACAGGAGATAAACCCTATTGATGTAGAGAATGTGAAAAGGCCTTCTGTAGTAAATCTCAGCTTGTTGTTCACCAGCGAATTCATGTAGGAGAAAAATCCTATGAATGCAAGGAATGTGGGAAAGGCTTTAATAAAAACACACACCTCATAACACATCAAAGAATTCACACAGGAGAAAAACCTTATGAATGCACTGAATGTGGGAAAGCTTTTATACACACATCACAGCTTACTGTACATCAGAGAAATCATACAGGAAGAAAACCTCATGAATCCAAGGAATGAGGGAAATCCTTTAATAAAAAGTCACTTCATAATATCGAGAATTCATACAGGAAAGAAACCTTATGAATGCAGTGAATGTGGGAAAGCTTTTATAGACAACTCACAGCTTACTGTTCATCGAAGAATGCATATAGGAGAAAAACCTTATGAATGCAGGGAATGTAGGAAAGCCTTTAATAAAAAGTCGTCCCTCATAACACATCAGAGAATTCATACAGGAGAGAAGCCTTATGAATGCATTGAGTGTGGAAAAGCTTTTATAGATAAGTCACATCTCATTGTCCATCAGAGGACTCATGCAGGAAAGAAACCCTGTGAATGCACTGATTGTGGAAAAGCTTTTATACAAAAAGCAATGCTCATTATACATCAGTGAACACATACAGGAGAAAAGCCCTTTGTGTGTCTTGAATGGCAAAAAGCGTTTAGCAGTATGGCAATGCTCTGTAGACATCAGTTGATTCATACTGGAGAGAAACCCCATAGATGCAATGAATGTGGAAAAGCCTTCTGCCAAAAGAGCCATCTTATCCATCAGTGATGCCATACTGGAGAAAAACCCTATGGATGCATTCCATGTGGTCAAATCTTCAACCAAAAGTGACAGCTCATCAGGCATCAGAAATGTTGTACAGGAGAAAAGCCATATCAATGTAGTCAATGTGGGAAAAGCTTTTTTGAGAAATCATACCTCAGTGTCCACCAGAGATGTCATGCAGGAGAGAAGCCTTATCAGTGCAGTGAATGTGGGAAATCTTTTTCTGTCAAATCTTTTCTCACTACCCATCAGGAGATTCATACAGGAAACAAATTTCACAAACACAGTAAGTGCTGGAAGGACTTCAGTGAGATGTCAAATATCCCTGAATATAAGATGATTCATATGAGAGACAACCTATGAGTTCAGAGAAAGTTGGCTATTTTCTCATTAATTTTGGCCTTTGTAAGCATCAGAAAAGTTATTCAGGAGACAGATTTTTTCAATGCATTGAACAAGGGAATATTATCTCCCAACAATGTAGCCTCATATTCGGTTAAAGGCAATATGAATTAATTGAAAGCTGGAAATTTTGAGAAGATAAATTCTATTGTATGTCACACAGAAACAAAACTTTTTGAGTGCAGCAAATATTTTTGCATAGGCCATCATAAAATAGGGAATTTTTACTGAGAAAAAAAATCTCATGAATATGTTGAATCCTGGATTGCTTTTCAAGCAAATGAATTTTTATACCTGAGAATACAGATAACTGAAGACCTGTGGATGAGATGCCTCTGGCATAAAGCCAAAACTCATTGTGCATCAGAGAATATTTATTGAGGAGATATAGTGCAGTGATAAGGGGAAAGGTTGTCTACATAAGCAATTTTAGAATAAAAGTTCTCATCCTGCCACATTACCATGCATTCATGGAAAACATAACACCAAATAGTTATGAAGAGTAAATAATCTCAGTATGACAAATATCACTTTCTTGCATATTTGAATATGTGGTATAGTCAGAGCAGTAAGTTAAGAATGGTCCCATATGGGCTGGGCGCAGTGGCTCAAGCCTGTAATCCCAGCACTTTGGGAGGCCGAGACGGGCGGATCACAAGGTTAGGAGATCGAGACCATCCTGGCTAACAGGGTGAAACCCCGTCCCTACTAAATACAAAAAAAAGCTAGCCAGGCGAGGTGGCGGGCGCCTGTAGTCCCAGCTACTCGGGAGGCTGAGGCAGGAGAATGGCGTAAACCCGGGAGGCGGAGCTTGCAGTGAGCTGAGATCCCGCCACTGCACTCCAGCCTGGGCGACAGAGCGAGACTCCGTCTCAAAAAAAAAAAAAAAAAAAAAAAATGGTCCCATATGTATGTATTTGCTTTGTGTGTAAGTTTGTAGAACATATATATAATGATTTTCAAATTTCAGAAGATAATGAAAGAAAATTGTCTGTCAGATATTACTTGTCCTAGTTTGTATGTTTAGCTGCCAGCCAGAATACATCATTGTAAATTTTTGTGTATCATATAAATCGCAAGGGAAGTGATCAAATTTAAGATTAAAGAAGAACTATGTAATATAATACCATGTATCTTTTTCTTTACTGATTTATGTAAATGGGTATGATAGTTCTTTTCAGCCTGTTGAGTAAGAGGTTTTTGTTTTTTGGGTTGTTTTGTTTTTTTTTTTAAGCGAGAGTTTTGTTCTTGTTGCCCAAGCTGGAGTGCAATGGTATGATCTCAGCTCACTGCAACCTCTGCCTCCCAAGTTCAAGTGATTCTCCTGCCTCAGCCTCCCGAGTAGCTGGGATTACAGACTACTACCGCTATGCCCAGCTAATTTTTGTATTTTCAGTAGAGACAGAGTTTCGACATCTTGGCCAGGCTGGTCTCGAACTCCTGACCTCAAGTGATCCACCTGCCTCAGCCTCCCAAAGTGCTGGAATTACAGGCGTGAGCCATCATGCCCAGCTTGAATAGTAAGATTTTAAAACCAAATTGTACTCTGGTCAGTCAGGAAAAAAAGTTTATTAAAAAGATTGAAGTCTAAAACTGATCAGTAATCACAACTCTTCTGTCCCTAGCTGAATTCTGAAAAAGTAGACACAGCTTCTATTTTCAAAGAAATGAAATTAAAATGTCACCTTTGGTGGTGGTATTGCTCAAATGGGGAATGGGGGTTGGACCTATTACCAGATGTGCTTCTTACTGTATCCCTGCAAAACCTAGTGTATGTGTTTCTTAGGGCTTGCATAACAAAGTACTACAAACTGGGTGGCTTAACACATTTTTCATCTTACAGTTCTGGAAGCTGGAAGTCTGAAATCAAGGAGTCAGCAGGGCCATGCTCCCTCTGAAAGCTGAAACCTCCCTGTCATCTTCCTAACTTTTGATGGTTTGTTCAGATTCTTGCATTCATTAGCTTCCAGCTGTATAACTCCAATCTTTATCTTTGCATTCACATGGTGTTTTCGCTATGTGCCTCTGAGTCTTCATATAGCTAGTTTACAAGGACACCAGTCATTGGATTATGAGTCCATACTACTATATTCTAACCTCATCTTAACTAATTAAATCTGCAACTGTTCTAGTCCCAAATAAAGTCATATTTTGAGGTACTGGAGATTAGGACTTCAAAATGTCTGTTTTTTGTTTTTGTTTTTGTTTTTGTTTTTTAGAAGTGAGGCTATTCTATTCATAAAACCTAGCGATTTAAATGTAAATCTGTAAAGATAGTCTCAATTTCAGATCAGACACATTCAGACACAGGTACACTTGTCATGCCTCCCCACTGAAGAATGAAAAGAACAATCTGCATATCTGTCTCTTTGAGGTAAGCCTTGAATCCCATACCAATGATGCTTACTACTGTGACAGCACATACCAGATGGAATGTATCATTCTGCTGACAGGTAAACCCAAACACAAAAAGAGTATAAACTATGCATCCATGAGCTATTTTCATAACTCACAAATATGATACCTCACTTCTCCTTTGGAAAAACAAGGTGAAAACACAAAAGGAATGATGTAAAGTGTTCTTCCCAATATGGTGGACATACCCGAAGTTAAAGTGCAGTTATAAGTATGAAAAAACGTTTAGTTTCCATCCAGAATAATCCATGACTGTAAAATTTTGTGTATCATATAAATTGCAAGGGAAGTAATCAGATTTAAGATTAAAGAACTCTGCAATATAACACCATGCATCTGTTTACTGATTAATGTAAATGAATATGGTAGTTCTTTAAAAAGGGGGCAGGGGCTTTCCAATTACACTGAATGTGCAATACTATTCACACAATAGAATACCAAAAACAGCAAAAATAAGTGGCAGAGGGATGACCATCACAAACCAGGTACACAAACTAGATAAGAACATATTTAGTGTATTTGTACCACTTACTGCCTGTATTGACTCTCAGACCCAAATCTACCCTTCCTAAACCTACTTTGTGGTCCTGGAACTGCAACTGATGAACATTTATTTGTCAGCTGGCACTGGCAAGGACATATTGAGTGCAGTAGTAAAGATACATGGCCATAGCAAAGGAGCTTCTCTTCCTTGTTCCAGTACTTGTTTCTGAAAATGTGACTGCCAGCAGATTGGAAAGCTGAAGTTCTGGTTGCCTTCACTTTAGTGTCCCTCATTGTTGAGCTCACCTCTCTTGTACCCTCTAGTAGGCTCCTCCACCACCTTTAGGCCACTTTCTGCAGATCAAGTGTGTTCTGCTGGCACCCTTCTGTGAGTTCTGGCACCCTGTAGACTGCTTTTATTTCAAGTTACTTTCCCCTTGGCAGGTTGCATGTACCTATAGCAGCCACATTTCTCCAACGAAATGTACATCTTAGCTTTTGGGGATTGAGTTTCCCTTTGATGTTCTTAGTGCCTTCTTTTTAAGCTTCCTTTAGCTCTAGAGTTACTAGCTACTTCTTGCATCTGCTGCTTCTGCATTGCTTGGAGTTCTCTTTTACTCCATTGAATAGTTAACCCCTTTTAATTTTTGAGAACATGTCAAATTACTGATATAATTTCTCAGTCCTGCTGAACCCTGAGTGATTTAAAAATAACTTCTATTAAATTAGAAAAATTACAAAACAACTATGTTTTCCCACATATGGACAAATACAGACAAAAGAGAAAGTAAGAAGATAAAATTTGCGAGGGCTGCAATTATTGTGGGGATTTGGGGCAGGGGAAGATTTTATCAGAGAGGACCATGTAGTGCTTACATTGTATTGATACTATTCTCTCCCATTTCCCATATCCTCAGGTTTTAGCTGTATCTATTTTTGGAACTACAATAAAGTGCACAAACATTCCATCTTTACTCTTTTTAACAGTTATGATCATGGTAGAAATAATTTTCTGTTGCTCTATCTTGAATCTTTAGCATTTTCATTCTGCTATAAAGTAACCCTAATAAAATTTTAATGTAAGATTTTTTCAATAGTAAAATTTCCATTATTTTCTTTTTTGTTGCTTTTATTTATCTACTGAGAACTTGAAAACTCCATCTTTATTGATTTCAAGAGTGTTTATACTTACCTCATGAACTAAGTTTATCACAGCTACTTTAAAGCCTTTCCCCCGATAATCCTAATGCCTTAGTCATCACAAGTTTGGTACCTGATGATTGTACATTCTCTTTAAAATTGGTCAGGGTCTCCTGGTTCTTTGTATGTTAAGTAACTTTTTATTGTACCCTTAGCATTTTCAATATTATGTTGTCAGACTTTGTCCTTTTAAAATCCTCTTGAAAATGTTAATTCCTTTTGTCTTAGACTGAAGTCAATCAGGTTATATTCAGACCATAAATTTTTCTGTGGGTAGTGGTTCCAATGTCAGTGCAGTTTTCAAAATCCTTGCTATGATCTTTGGATGCAGCCCTCACATAAGCCACCTCACAGTAGTAATTTTCAGAGTCTTTGCTTCTTCGTGTGTTTTTTATACATGTGCAAGCAGGGGGGTGAGTCTTAGATTTACGTCTTAAGGAATTCACTTCTTTACTATCTTCTTTCCAGGATTTTTTCCCCCCCCAGTGTCTGGTTTCCTGGGGCCCCTTTTATCCAGCACTTTGCCTCAAAAGATGGAGTTCTCTCTATGAAGTCAGGCAGCTTTATGCTAGGCTCACCCAATGACAAAGCAGTGAAATAAAAATAATGGGAAAAAAGATATTTTCCCCATTTTCTTTGCACAATAGGGAATCATTTCCCAATATTTTCTTTTTAATTTTAATTTTAATTTTATTTATTTATTTATTTATTTTTTTCTTGAGACAGAGTTTCACTCTTGTTGCCCAGACTGGAGTAAATGGCGCAGTCTCAGCTCACTGCAACCTCCACCTCCCGGGTTCAACTGATTCTCCTGCCTCAGCCTCCCAAGTAACTGGGATTACAGGTGCCTGCCACCATGCCTGGCTAATTTTTGTATTTTTAGTACAGACGAGGTTTCACCATGTAGGCCAGGCTGGCCTCAAACTCCTGACCCCAAGTGATCCACCTGCCTTGGCCCCCTAAAGTGCTGAGATGACAGGTGTGAGCCACTGCATTGGGCCTAATATTTTCTATCTATAGATTTTTTCCCTGAGTTTCAGGTGTCCATGTCACTGCCAGTACTGTGGCAGTGCAGTTTCAACAGTAGAGCTAGCAAGACCATGCTAGAAAAACTAGAAAAACGGAAAAAAATAAAATGGAGATCCCCACAACACACTTTTTGGCTCATGGGGATTCATTTTCTCTATTTTATGGCCATCAAGACTGGTTTTTCTTAGTGTCCTTGCTCTTCACCTCAGCAGCAAAATTTCTGTTGGGTTTTGAAGGGAAGGCAAGGGTGAAAGAAAGACACGGAGTGGTGGCTTTACAGCAAATGCAGGCTTTATGTCCAGCGTAAGACCTACAGAAGTGGGGAAACAGCTTAATGCCAGTGCCCACCGCTGCTTATAGGCTGGGACAATTTATAGGCCTGGGTGGAAGGGGCCTGGGGTGGCATGGATAACGTGTTCCCAAGATGAGGCGGTTCCCGCGCAAAGTAGTGTTCCTTGTACTTTCTCCCAGCAGAATATGATAAGAGGCAGGATGTTTCTCACAGTTCAAACCCCCCGTGAAATGATTCACTTTGATCAGGGTTTGTGAAATGGTGGGGGGCTTCCAAAATGGTGCAGTTTGGACTGGCACTTTCCTAATTTGTCTTACTCTTAGGTCAAAGGCAGGAGATACAAACAGAAAAAAAAATTAGGGAACTTACTCTGTGTATTGCTTGGTTTTCAACTCTATACTTTATTCTCCAATCTCTTTGCAATTATTCATTTTAAAAGTTCTCAAGTCGTTTTTATTTTATTTTTTTTCCAAAAGTTTTAAGTGTAACCAGTGGGAGTGATAAACTAGGGGGCTTACTCAATCAGGGCTGGCACCAGACATTACATATATTTATTTTTAAGGGATAAAACATCCTTGTATTCCTGGGAACCTGATCTTGAAGTTCATTCTTTTCATATAATGCTAGATTTGATTGCTAATAATTTCTTCATGACTTTTACATCTATTTCACATGACTGTTCAGAATACATGTGATCTTTCTGAAGTACAAGTAATACTCTCTTGGAATGGGTTGTGGTTGTCAGTGTCTGCTCAACAACCATTTTGGCCCAGTCCTTACCCCTCAAGGTCTCTCTCCACAATCCCACACCCAGTTGTACCCAGATGGCTCCCCCCTTACTACCTGAGCTCCTCCAGACCCAATTCTGGTTTCCTAAGACTTTTCTCAACAAACACATTCCCTGAATCCACCCTCTTCCTGCTCCCACCTCCTTGCTCCACTGCCTAGTCTTTGTTCAACGGATCCCAAAACGTTTTCCAAAATGGCTGCGCCTTACCTGCTGCTTTAAGGGCCTACAGGGCTCAGTAGGTGCAGCCATTTTCTGCTTAGGTCTTGTCTGTGATTGGCTTAGGGCTGTTGCTAGATCTGAAGTAGACAGGTGAGAACGCTGAATGTTGTTCCCGAGAATGCACAATGCTGCTGGTAGCAGCGGGGAAGGTGGTGAAAAGGATAAAAGGATAGTAGATCAGCTGCATTGCCTCTTTCCTTTCCAGCAAGATGGAATTTAGTCGCCAGAAAATGCCCATCTCGCTATCTGTAAGAAGCATCTTCCAAGACTGCTGCTTCCATATGCACGCCTAGTTTCAAAGTCTGTAGACAAATTTTTTTTTTCTTTTTTTTTTTTTTTTTTTTATGTTTTTTTTTTGAGACAGAGTCTCGCTCTGTCGCCCAGGCTGGAGGGCAGTGGCCGAATCTCAGCTCACTGCAAGCTCCACCTCCCGGGTTTAAGCCATTCTGCCTCAGCCTCCCGAGTAGCTGGGACTACAGGCGCCCGCCACCTCGCCCGGCTAGTTTTTTGTACTTTTTAGTAGAGACGGGGTTTCACCGTGTTAGCCAGGATGGTCTCGATCTCCTGACCTCGTGGTCCGCCCGTCTCGGCCTCCCAAAGTGCTGGGATTACAGGCTTGAGCCACCGCGCGCGGCCTCAGAGTCTGTAGACATCTTGTGTACAGCGAAAGTGCTACCGAGTCTGCGCAAGAGCGTGGGTACGGCAACGAGTGAAGAGGCTACGGAAGCCTGCTAGTCCTCAAGTGAATATTCGTGCGACTCCAGCTGTAGGGTGAGTTTCGCGGTGCTGGTGGGATGCTTGACCGGATGAGACCAGCGTGGGGTACTTGGGGAGGTTTGTGGTGTAAGAAGGCTTCAGGGAATGGTCAGTGGAATCTGAGGCTGGGGGTTAGCCACTGACGGCTTCTGTGGTCTGCATTGGAGCGTCCTCAGCGTCGAGTGGAAGTCGGTGTCTGGGGAACCAGGAAGAGCGAGCAAGCGATGCGGAGTTGGGGGCCGTTATGGCTATCAGTGATGGGAGGGGCCAGGGAAGGAGGTACTTCATTGCTTCAGATGTCAGGGATTTGGGTGCTATGCTAAGTATCCAACCGTATTTCCCAACATTTCATACTGAAACCTTTGAAGTACACTGAAGGAATAGCAACATGGTGGTCATCTGTGTACCCATCACCTAGATTCAGCAATTACTAAAATGGTGTCATAAATACCTGGTACATGTGTATGGGGGTGTGTGTGTAATTTCTTTTCTTTTCTTTTCTTCTCTTTTCTTTCTTCTTCTTCTTCTTCTTCTTCTTCTTCTTCTTCTTCTTCTTCTTCTTCTCCTCTTTCTTCCTCTTCCTCCTCTTGTTGTTGTTGTTGTTGTTGTTATTATTATTATTAGAGAAAGAGTCTTGCTCTGTCACCCAGGCTTGAGTGCAGAGGGGTGATCATAGCTCACTGCAGCATCAACTTCCTGGGCTCAAGTGATCCTCCTGCCTTGGCCTCCTGGGTAACTGGGAATAGAGGCATGCTAAACCACGCCTGGCTAACATAATTTATTTCTTGATGAATCCTTTGAAATAACATTTTAGTCCTGATTCTTTATACCGATTCTGCTATTTACTGTCTGCATGACTTCGGGCAAGGTATTGAAATACTATAAGTTTTACTGTTAGGAAAAAATGATGGTATCTCCTTGGCAAATTTCTTTTGAAGATTATTGGAATGGTGTGCCTGAAATGCTAGCAAAGTGCCTGGTTTATAGTAGATAATTGAGAAATGGTCTTTTATTATTATTCAAATATATACCTTTCTGTGGGAATTTTAATTCTCTAACTTTTCCTTTTCTGCTTTCATATAGTTCGTTTTCCTATATGAATTTATCTTTGAGTACATATTTGAAAACCTCTGAGGATTTTAAATAAAGATCTCCTTACAACAATTATTTATTACAAAAATTGTTACATGCTTGTAAATAAAAAACCAGGCAGTAATAGTAAAAGCATCTACAATTTACCACCTATAGCAAACTTATCTTTTGTGCTATGTTATTAAATTGAACTGCAGAGTATGAATATTTCATTTTTTTAAATATATAAAGCAGATCAGGTTAAATGCATAAACTTTAAAATTAAATTTTAAATTAAATTCTATTTAATTTAATATAAATTTATATATAATATATTTATGTTTATACATATATAAAATTTATATAATAAATATAATAATTTAGGGTTTTTTTACCCTCTTATACCAGGAAGAATGACTATTTAAAAAAATTTTTTATTATACTTTAAGTTCTAGGGTACATGTGCACAATGAATAATTTAGTTTCTAATTAAACATTTAAATGCATATTTAACCATTGGCTCTTTTTGCTTAATAAAGGTAATGTTTGATAATATGCAAATGGCAAAGTCTTTCATTTCTGTCCCATCTTTGCATCAATCGTATATTTGCCTAATCATTCCCAACCCGCTAAAAATTTCCATCTAGAATTGTGTATGTGATTTCCACATATAAGTACATATTTTTAGAAATATGTTTAGAAATATGTACTTATATGTGGATACCTAAAGAACTCAATATTTAGATTTTTAAGTTTTATAAATACTATTATAATATTTGTATTTGTTCTTAGTTGCTATGTAGAAATTACTACAAATTTAGCAGTGTAAAACAATGCTCAGGTTTTAGCTCATAGCTCTGTAGGTCAAGCATCGGAATGCGTTTGGCTGAATGTTCTGCATAGGATCTTAAGGCCAAAATCAAACCAAGGTGTCATCTGGGCTGGGCTTTTATCTGAAGACTGGGGAAGAAGTTGGCTCCAAGCTCAGTCAGGTGGTTGGCATAAATCAGTTCCTTTGCACTTCTGTAATAAATGCAACTTAGTCATAGTACAATATTTTTCTATCTATTTTGGTATACGATTTGCTAATATGTTATTATTTATTTATTTTAGGTTTGGCTTTTATGAATAAAACCTCAATGAATGTTCATCTGAAAATGCTCATGTGAAAACAACAACCAAACCAATAATTCCATTAAAACGTGAGCAAAGGACGTGAATAGACGTTTTTCAGAAGAAGACATAGAAATGGCCAACAGGTATATTTAAAAAGCCAAACATCACAAATTGTCAGAGAAATGCAAATCAAAACCACAATGAGATATTATCTTACCCCCGTCAGAATATCTATTTGAAAAAAAGTGTAAAATATAAGTACTTTGAATCAAGGAATTAATTTATTTAAGCGGTAAGATTTTATGATGATTTCACACTGTGTTTACCACCTTAAGATTTAATGAAGTGTCTGACAATAAAGGCAAAAAAACCTTATTATACTAGTCAGGTACTCCAGAAATACTACATGCAGAGATTTTTGAAGAGTAGAAGTTAAATTACTTGGCTTCATTTTTGTTTCACTGCAAATTTCCATATGATGAGTAACCATCAGAAACAAAGGTTTTCATTATTGTTTTCAAGAACTAGATATTTTTTCTTCCATTTATTGCCATGACATCAATATGAGAAAAACTTTTTAAAACCACTAATGTGTAAAGTATGTGTCACTTTAAAATTGGATGATCCAAACATTACTTAAGATATTGATTTCAAGGCCAGGCACGGTGGCTGACAACTATAATCCCAGCACTTTGGGAGGCCAAGGCAGGTGGATCACCTGAGGTTAGTAGTTCAAGACCAGCCTGACCAACATGATGAAACCCTGTCTCTACTAAAAATACAAAAATTAGCTGAGTGTGGTGGTGGGCACTTGTAGTTTGACCTACTCAGGAAACTGAGACAGGAGAGCCGCTTAACCCCAGGAGGCGGAGGTTGCAGTGAGCCGAGATCATGCCATTGCACTCCAGCTTGGGGAACAGAGCAAGACTCCATCTCAAAAAAAAAAAAAAAAACGATATCGATTTCAGTTATGTCTGATCATGTCAATGAAAACACAGCTTTTCTGAAATATTGGTTAAAATTAAAAAATGAATTAATATTAATTTTAACTTCAGTTCATAAAAATCACTTTATTTTTCAAGCACAATTTTTGTATTGAACAGATGTATTTAAAAGTAAACTAGTAAGTGTTCCTTTTTCCCCTGTCTTTTGCAAGTATTTCTTGTAAGACTGATGTTACTTCTTTCTTAAATATTTAGTAGAATTCACAGGTGAAACAATGCAGGCCTGAAGTTTTTTTTGTTGTTTGTTTTTTTGGTTTTTTAATGGGTATTGATTAGAAATTCAACTTCTTTACTAGGTTTTGGACTATTTAGATTTTCTAATTCTTTTTATGGCAGTTTCATATGTGTGCTTTTCAAGGATTTTGTCCATTTCATCTAAATTGTCAAATATAATGGTATAAAGTGATTTGTAATATCATTTTAATGTGTTTAGTCTTTGTAATAATGTTCCTTTTTTCATTCCTAAAATTAGTCATTTGTATTTTCTCTTTTTTCTTGATTAGTATTGCTAGAAACTTATCCATTGTATTGATCTCTTAACATAATTTTAATATTTCCTCATCTGTTGACCTCTATTTCATTTATTTCCACTTTTAATTAGATTTAATTGGATCTTTTTCTAGCTTCTTGAGGTGTAAATTTAGATCATTGAGTTCACACATTTATTCTCTAATAAAAACACTTATGGTAAAAATTCCCCCGTAAGGGAGGTTGAGGTTGGATGATTGCTTGAGGCCAGGAGTTCAAGAGCAGCCTGGACAACATAGCAAGACCCCACCTCTACAAAAAATTTAAAAATTAGCCAGATGTGGTGGTGAGTGCCTATAATCTCAGCCATTCAGGAGGCTGAGGCAGGAGGATTGCTTGAGCCCAAAAAGTTGAGGCTGCAGTGAGCTATGATTCTGCCACTTCACTGCGGCTTGAGTGATAGAGCAAAACCCTGTGTAAAAAAAAAAAAATCCTATGCACACTGCCTTTAGCTTTAAATCACAAAATTTGAAATCTACTCTTCTTATCATTCAGTTTAAAATATTTTCTAATGTTCGTTAAGATTTATTTGGCCCATGGATTATTATATGTTGTTTAGTTTCTAAAGATTTGGGCATTTGCTAGTTACGTTATTATTACTGGTTTTTAATTTGATAGATTATGGTCATGGAATATACTTAGTATAATTTAAAGCCTTAGATTTTTATTGAAACTTATTTTATAACTCAGCACTTGAAAAGAATTAGATTGGATATTATGTGAAATATCCTACTCTTAGGTGTAAGAAATAGTTTATAAATGTCAGTTAGGTTACTTGATTGTGCTGTTTAAATCTCTCTATCTTGAGGCCAGGAGTTTGCCTAGCAACCTTGTCTCTACGAAAAAATAAATAAATAAAAGGAGTGTGGCTGCACATGCCTCAGCTACTCCAGAGACTGAGGTGGAGGATCACTTGAGCCCAAGATTTTAAGGCTACAGTGAGCTGTGATCATGCCACTGCACTCCAGCCTGGGTGACAGAGCAAGACCCTGACCCTACCCCAGTACTATTTTTGCTAGCTACATAAGTGACTAGAAAAAAAAATTTATTGTGTGTTTTCAAAAAACTGGAGGAGAAGATTTTTTAATCTTCACACACAAAGGAATGATAAATGTTTTAGGTGATGGATATACTAATTACCCTATGACTATTATACACATTGTATACATGTATCAACATATCACTCTGTATCCCTTAAATATGTACAATTATGATGTGAACTAAAACTAAAAGAAAAAAATATATTGTACCCCTGTTAGTCTAAGCCATCAGACCTGACCACTTCCCAAAATTTCAGCCTCATAAAATCAGTCAACTTCTTGGAATTTCTGTGGACACAAGCAGTAGGCATGACAAACTAAACATTCTGAAAACAGTATCCCCAATTCTCCTATTCCCTGACCTGCCCCTTCCTCAGTTTTCTTTCTTTTAGGAATCAGAGGCATTGTCCTCTCAATAGATTAAGTGCCAAGTCTAAAATTATTGATTTTTCTCTCATTTGGTAAGCAAAATCCAAGTGCTGCTGATTTTATGCACCCCAAGAATCACCTACAGGCTCATGCCATCTCTTGTCTGGATGCCTGAACTGGCTTTTGCGAACAGATCTCTCTCTCCATGAACAGAAGCAAAAAATGACTTTTAAAAACACAATCAACATAACTACTTCCAGCAGTGATGACATGTAAGAGAGACCAGATTTATGCTCCTACCTTAAACAACTAAAAATCTAGGGAAAATGCGAAAGAGTGGTTTTCTGACACTGGACAACAAGTAGTGTAGCATTGTAATCTCCAAAAAAGGGGGAAACAAATAAGATGATCCCCATTATTGCCCTGCTTACTGACTTAAGAGAGTTTCCAGGCCACAGTGCAGGAGAGCAAACACAGGTAGAGCCCAGTAGACTCCTTGAAATGAGTTTGAAATAAGAAGATAAAGTTGAGAGTTGGGAAGAACAAGACAGATAGATTTCAAAGATTAGTACTAAATAAGAGAGTATTGCAGACAGAATATGATTAAGACATCAATTCTTCCTCAAGCAAATTCATAGATTCAATGTGATTCAAGTTAAAAAAAACATTAACAACCAAATTCTAAAAATTTATATGGAAAGGCAAAGGAACTAAAATAGCCAAACTACTTTTGAAAAGGAACAACGTTGAAGTACTCATGCTACTTAATGTCAAGACTTGCTATTAAGCTACAATTATCAAGACGGTGTGATGTTGGCTAAACGGTAGACAGATAGACCAGTGGAACACAATAGAGTCCAGAAATAGATCCACACACAATACTGACTTTTGACATATGTAAAAAATGCAATGAAAAAAGAATATTGTTTCCAACAAATGGTACTGGCGTAATTGGAGATTAAAAAATATTAACAAAAAAGAAACTCAACCTAAGCCTCACATTGTTTGCAAAAGATAGTTAAAGATGGATTATAGATTTAAATGTTAAATGCAGAACTACTACATTTTTAGGAGAAAACGTTAAAAAATGTCCAGGACCAAGAGCTAAGCAAAGAATTCTTTGACATGACACCAAAAGCACAATCTGTAAAAAAGGAATAAGTTGGACTTCATAAAAATGAAAAAATTTTACTTTGAAAGTTATAGTTGATTACTCAGGTATGGTGGTTTGCACCTCCAGTCCCAGCTACTTGAGAGGCTGAGGCAGGAGGATCACTTGAGCCGGAGGGGGCAGAGGCTGCAGTGAGCTGAGATTGCACCACTGCACTCCAGCCTGGGAAACAGAGTAAGACCTTGTCTCAAAAAAATAAAAAATAAAAATAAAAAGGAAAGTTATGGTTAAGCTTTATACTCAATAAAAATTTAAAAAGAAATAGAGCAGATCATCACATTGCTCTGCATCTTTTAATGGCTACGAGGCATCTAACTCAGGCTTAACAAACTCTGCTGTATATGGCTCAGACCTCATTTTCTGGATACCCACTCTCTTTCTCACTGAAAAATGACAGATGAATGTGGAGGCTGTTGCAATAGATGAAGAAAAAGAGAGGCATCGAAGGCTCTCAGACCAGCGAAGAATGAGAGAAGGGAGGTGATTTTGTGATTGACAGAAAGCTACAACGAGTGCTGTGAAAAGAACTAAAATATTTGCTGAACTAGACTGGAGAGCGTCTGAGAGGCTACGTTATCTTAGGGACTCAGAAAAAAAAATATTCTGAGGAGGTTATGTTTAAACTGAGATTAGAATTACATGAACTGGTCACATGAAAGTTCAAGAGGAAGAATATTCCAAGCAGGAGAGCAGTTAGTACAAAGATTCTGAGACAAGAATGAATTTGGTATGTTTGAGAAATAAAGATATTACTAGTGTAATTACTAACAACATAATCGATGAAAGAAAAACTGTTGAGGAAGAACATCAGAAGGACAGGCAAAAGCCAGATAATATGAGGCTTTGGGAGTCAGATAGCAGATTCAGATGTTTTTATTATTAGCACGATGGGAAGCTGTTGGAGGGTGTTAATCAAGAGATGGGCATGCTCATATTTATATTAGAAGAAAAAACTTTGGCTGCTGGGTGAATAACTGACTGCTATAGAGCAAGAGTGAATTCAGAAAGATTAGGAAACTATTGTAGTGGTC